CCCCTGCTCCCCTCGGAGCCCCCCATTCCCCAGGGAACCCCCCGCTCCCCAGGGAACCCCCCATTCCCCAGGAGCCCCCTGCTCCCCTCGGAGCCCCCCGTTCCCCAGGGCCCCCTGTGCCGGCACACGGAGCCCCTGTGCCGAGGGGAACGTTCTGGGACCGTGCTGGAATAGCTGTGATCCAGGACAAGCACATCAGGAGCTCACCCAGGATGTGAGGAGCGCTCTGGGAGTGGAACTGGTGCCATCCCTGGGTGAGCATTGGAACCAGGCACGGCCACGGGGAGCTGGGGATGGCACAGACGCCTCTCCCAGCTGGGATTCCTGCTCAAATCCCACCAAATTCTCACTGGAAATTCACTCCGGTGTGTGCAAACACAGAGAAATCCCAGAGCCTCCAGGTTAATAAACAGAGCAAAAATCCCCTGTGGTTTAATAACCCGGCATTAACCATCCCTGCATGCACAGGCTCACAGGCCACAACCACTAAATCCTGCCTTAAACAGGGATTCGTGCCATTTAAAGTTTCTTTACCCTGCACAATCCATAGAAATAACCATAAAAATCTCTGAGCATTTCAAAGCAATGGGAATACACAGGCAGGATTATCCTGCTCATGAGGAAGCGCCCTGGTGATGGCTACGGGATCCCCAGGGAGGAGGATGCCCACAGGAGACAAAAGAGCCCCCAAAGTTTGCCTTTAAAACATGTTTTTTCCTGCCTTTTAGCATCCTGCCTTCTCCAGCAGCTTCCAAATAGGTGAATAAATACAGCTGCTGCTTTATTGCTCCTTATCCAAACAGGCAGCTCTGGTCCCGCTGCCGTGGAAGCGCGGCTTTAATTGGAATCACACGTTCAGAGCTGGCCGAGTGCTGGAGCCTCTCCCAAAAAACATCCTTGGAGGTTCACAGCTCCCGGCTCGGCTGCACCAGAGGGAGGATGTGTGGGCTTGAACACGTTACGTGAGGTTTAGGGTCATTGAGAGGGGATCAGTTCGTGATTTTTGCTCTTTATCACAAGTCCTGGCTGGTGATTCCCAGGGAAAGCCACGCCAGAGCTGCTGCGATTATTGAAGATCTGTGGTGAGGGTGTTGGGGTGGGCGAGCTGTGGGCAGGGCAGGGGGGCTGACGGATCCCCCTGCAGGATGGGTGGACAGACAGATGGACAGGGATGGGCAGGGCTGGACAGACAGGTGGACAGGGATGGACAGGGAGCTCAGGGATAGACAGGGAGCTGCTG